CTACCACCGCCATCCTGAAGTTAACAAGAAGATCTACAAGATTGGCTAGGACTCTTACATCAGGAATGGTGAATTGATCAAGCTCAACGCATCCACCATTCAAAATGATCTGACAAGAGCATTGACCCAATAGGAAGGTTTGTCCACCATGGTGCAGTCAAGGACTTTATCATACAGAAGGGCTGTGTTGTTTAAACAAAGAAACATTTCTGAAATGATAAAAGTCCTTGCTTGTACAGACAAAACATCAAGCACTAGGGAAGACTGACTTGAAGTTTATAAACACCACCTTGATGTTTGGCCACAGCTACTTCTAGACCAGAGAAGAGGATTATTTATTATAAGAACAGTCTGCACATGTATTGAGAGCATCTTTGATGACATTACCAAAAGGAAATGGACAGACTCACAATTTACCACATATTGGCATATTTGGCATCACACAATTTACTGAAAAATGTAGAGTATGTGCAATTCTTATTCTTTGACTTTGACTATAAAAAGATATTCATTTGGTACAGCCACATTTTCCTTCAACAGGATGTTTCCCATATATATGTTAACAAGCTACATACAAGATAAATAGGAAATAATAAAGGGAAAACACTAGGATTAAGAGGGATTAGGAAAAGCTTCGCGTAGAAGGTAGGCTTTTAGTAAGACTTGAAGGAAGCCAGGGAAGCCAAGAGGCAATAATGAGGAGGAAGAATATTTCAGGCATTGAAGACATCCAGTGAAAATGCCTGGAGTCAAGTTGGAGTGAGCAGTTTGAGAAACAGGGATGGCAGTGTCACTGAATCAAAGAATACGTGGTGGAGGATACTAAAAGTACAAGAAGACTTGAATGGTGAGGTGTGGAGTCTAGATTATGAAAGAATTTGAACACCAGGGAGAAAATTTTATGCAGCTATGGGTAGTCCACAGTCCCAGTAACAAAGGAGGGTTAGTAATCTACACACTCAATGTGAATCAACAATGTGACATAGCAGCCAAAAATGTAATGCTATCTAGGCTGCATAAAGAGAGAGCGTACAGAACCACGCAGACAATAAGGCTGCTGTCCTGCACCCCATGCAGATCACATTTGTAGCACTGTGTTCACTTCTGGGCACCACATTTTAGAGGGAAAAAAAAATGACAAGTAGAAGCATGTCTAGAAGATGGTCACCAGTAAAGAGAAAAAACAAAAAACTTACAAGAGAAGCAATCGAAGGAAGTTGGACTGTTCAGCCAAGAGAGAAAAAAAAAACAAACTTAGAAGGGCTATGAAAGCTGGTCCTGGCCCAATTAGACTTACTCTGCTTGACTCACAGGTATCACTAAGACCTGATAACACTATTGCAGTATGTTTCCCAAAGGGTATATTTCATTCAAAAGAAATAGGTAAAGAATGGGTGCGACTAGCATTGTATATTAAAAAGATAAAGTCATGAGAGGAAATAAAGGAAACCATAGAAGGAAACATAGCAGAGATCACTTTAGTAATTATCAACAGAGATGGAAACAAAAGGAATATTGGTATCAGAGTCCTTCCTATTCCCTAAGCAATGATGCTATCATTTCTTTGATCCTCTTCTTTTTCCCAATCCTTGGGGGGAGAGGGGGAGATGGCGGGGAGAGACTTCTGACCAACCATAGGGGGGCTGTACAGCTTCAGCTCATTCTGAATTTTTGCTCTCCTAATACTCTTTACTGGAACATGTACATCATGCTTTTACACACATCATCGGTTACCAATCTGCTTTCATCTTTTATACGTCTTAAATTTTTCGTCTGCTGCCATGTCCCATGTACGTCCACATAGGTTGCATTGAACAATTCTCTCTTAGCCTTCTTATTAAAATTGTTTCTCTATGTTATTAGGCCTTCATTCCTGGGAGCTTCCCAACCTGCTTGGGAAACCTTCCACTTTAAGCTTTCAGTACCTACATTCCTCTTCAAAATCTCTTCTTTCCAAATTTGAGGCATATGTCTTGACTATTCCCAGTTTTCTTCCACTTCTTCATTACACACTCTAGGAAAGTATTTGTAAAGGGGATGTTTTTTCTATCCTCTAAATTTAACTGCTCACTCATCTCATGAGCCATGAGCCTCATATTCAAAATCTCTATAGCAAGTTATTTCCAAAGTCTTTTAAGTTTTGTTTTTCTTGCAAGACAGTAAGCGAGAGCAGGACTTCTAACTGTCTTTCTCTACTCCAAGATTTGAGGAAGGGGATTTTCAGATGCCCTTTTGTCCTTATAAGAATCTTCTGAAGAGAAAGACTTCGGTAAATGATAGCTACATTTTGGGAAGTCCAAAGATTACTCATTCTTGCTAAGAACTAAATCAGGACATTTCTAAGAAAGTAAACATCAACCTGCATTGTTCTAATGTATATAAATCAATAGTGGTGATATATACACACACCAGATGTGTTGCTATGTGTGTTGCTATGGAAAGTACAGATTGATGTCTTATGCTTGGTGCTTGTTACCACCATCTCCTCCAAACCCCTCCATTATGTTTGAAGATTTAATTAGCCACATTGGATTAACAACAAACAGCTCACTTTTTTTTTTAACATCAGTGCAATATAATGAACACTTAGGTTCACTCAGCCCCTCCATATGATATGGAATTTATATCAAATGAAAAACTAAGAATATAATCACATTAGCTCAGAGTCCCCAGTTAGAAAATTCCTAGCATTCAGCTATGGGTTTGACCTTCTAGCCTGAATTTAAATTCATATTTATTTGGCCTCTTTATGTTTGAAGTAAAAGTCAGGATTCAATAAATAATATGTAAAATTTGCAAGCAGAGTATGTTACTGTATCTGTTACTAGTTACAAGGAGGGGAATTTGGAGAAAGAGCCGCCCTTTTTTGGGTACTTCTTTCAGTCCTTTTAAAGGCAAGTATGACCAATAGCTTTAGTCAGTCTTCTGTTCCAAGATGTCTGTAGGGGGCTGATGGGCCCTTCCTCAAGCTCTCCCCTTTGCCAGCTCAAACTTCTTTTTACTTCCTCCTTTCAGTTTCTATTTTCACTTGTTGCTCCTATACTTCTGATTCTTTACATCTCTGCTGCATAAGTCCTGGGTGGAGCTGGGGATACTGTCCCACACTGTTGCTGCTGATCTGCTCTTAAAGTCTCCATTCCTTCCTTCATGAGCTGTGTGTGTCCCTTTTAGAACTCTCAGAAGTGATAAAATTCTGTCTTCTGGCTCAAAAATTGAAACAATCTCCTCACCTAAAGGACTGAGAAGCAGGTTCTTGTCCCTCTAAACTTCAAATCCCATGGTGTCAGACCCCCCCCCCTCACACACACACACACACACACACACACACACACACACACACACGCTTATGTGTATAATCTGACTTAAGAGTTGTTCTTTTCCCATCCAGGTTGATCAATCCAAGAATATCCCTTCTAAATTCCAGTGGCCCCCTATTCCTTCAAGATCAAATATAAAATTTGTCCTGTTTGGCTTTCAGATTCCTATAAAACCTGACCATTTCCTATCTTTTCAGAATTCTTATACCTTGCTCCCCCATCTTGGATTATACAGGCAAATAACAGTCCTCCTTCCTTGCTATTTCTCTCAAAAGACACTCCATGCATTTTCATTGGCTGCCCCCATACCCAGAATGCTCTCCCTCCTTATCTCCACCTCCTGGCTTCCTGACTTCTTTCAACCTTTCTTTTTATATGGCACAGAGACGGCACTTAATAAATGCTTACTGACTTGATGTGAGGATAAAATAAAGAACTCTAAATCAAGATCACTGATGAATATTCAAAAATGTTAAATAAAATCCTTTCAAACAGACTTTAGCAATTTATCCAAAAAAAGTATTAAAACCAAGTTTGATTTATACCAACTTTCTTGATATAAGTACCCAGAACTTGCAGCCTGGAATAGCTGTCAAAGAAATGAGTTCCCTCCACATCAAGATAAAAACTTAAAACATGACTTCAATGAAAGTCATTAGTATTTACTACATTTTAATGATTATATAGCTGGTACTCTTAGTTCTCTAAGGTTTCCAAAGCACTTTATACACATCATTTAACCCTCAAAACCTTTAGACAGATTTTAGATAGTATTTCCATGTAACATATGAAGAAACTCATACAGAAAAGGTCGTCTTGTGCATGGTCAGTTAGAGTCTGGATCTGAGCCCATGATTCTAATGAATTCAAGACCAGCACCCATTTCACCACATCACATTATATGGTTTTGATTAAGTTGGAGACACCAACTTAAAGCAGTACTAGAGAACTACGTAACATAAGGCATAACAAACTAAATTCGCTGCCTAAAGCAGTGGTTTTTAACTTGAGTCTTTCATCCTTTGCTGTATCATTTTTCATTTTCAACATCTTCACCTCCTTATAGCATTCAGATTGTGCCTGGAGGTCACAAAGCAAAAATTGTACATTCCTATTTCAATCATATTTTCAATAAATAGCTCTTAATTTAATAATAATGAAGTGAATCCCTCCATTTACTTTTAGAATCCATATTATTGGTGTGGGTTCTTTCTCTCCCAAGCAGATCACAACCCCTGTATGTACTGGATTTATTTTTTGCCAGGGAAAGGTTTTCAGAAATTAGCTAAGACAGTCATGACAAGATTTTTAGTCTTTACCAGGCATTACTAGACATTTATTGCAAATTAATAACTTCTCCTATTTAAGCAATGTTTATTGTTTAGCTAGACATACTTTAGCCTTATTTTTATATTCCAAAAGATTGCTGCACTTCTATTAATTGGTCAGGCAAAAGTGTCTCAATCTATTCTTTAAAATTGTGGCAATCTTTGCGATAATAAAATACAGTTTCAACTTCAAAATTCTATGGTTATTAAAAATAACTGGCTAAAAAAGATCACTTTCTTAGTAAGAATGTGTACTTTAAAACGTATTTTTTTTCTCTGTACCAATGTGTTTACACACACACACACACACACACACACACACACACATATATATTTAGGAAGGTGGTTGAAAAAATAAGATGCTATGTTTCATATATTTATTGTAGGAGGTCGAACACATCATACATTATTTATGAAAAGTTACAGTGGACAACAGACAATAGTTATCTTAATCTTAAACTAATAAATTTCAGAAGACTACACAAAGGATTTTTACATTTGTAGCTCAAGCTTAAATTCATTATCTATACTACAACACTGGAAAATATATTGCAAAAATAAATAAAAAGAAAAAATGGTGCATAGCTGTAGGATAATTTCTTAAAAACTGAAGTACAGTATTGCACAATAAGTCAAAATAAGAGTAATATATGTATATAATTATGGAAATTCTAAAATGAATTTAAATACATTGTCATGTTATGTTTCATAATTCATAAATATATTTTATCTCCTCACAGTTCATAATATCATCTTTGGACTCCAGAAACAATTCCTTATCAAATCATTTCCCCATGCATTACATTTAGACATTTACTTGTTACCATAAAATTCATTATGAGAAACACATATGCCAGTCTATATGATTTAACCCATTTAGCTCTACTTGTGCAGAGAAAATTCTGCAGATCTAACAAAAGGGAAGCAGAAAAACATAACGTTCAACCTTTGATAACTTACATTTACATAGCACTTTACAGTTTGCATGATGCTTTCCTCATAACAACCCTGTGAGGCACAAAGTGCAAACATTATAATCCCCACTTTGTAGATGAGGAAATTGAGGCTGAGAGAGATTAAGTGACTTGCCCATGGTCACACAGCTAGTATCTGAGGCAGGATTTGAACTCAGGTTTCCTGATTCCAAGTCCAGCACTCTTTTCACTATGCCAAGCTGCCTCTTTGTTCTTCATAATTTGGGTTAGAACAACCTATATTAAAAACAGAACAGAAACTGGTCAAAATTAAATTCTAAAATGTGCATCTTATATACTAATCTAATTACTAGGTAATAATCATTTTTGGACATTTGTCCAATATATTTTAATATATATGCCAACATTTTTGTGTGTAATTAGCCCTATGCATTAATAAAAACAGGTTATAAAAATCAGGGAGGGATTACTGGTGGATAGAATGACAGTTCCTCTTCCTCTCTCCCCTTTTATAAATCTTTAATAGTGAGCAAAAATCATAGAAGTTAAGCATAACTACATTTTGGAGAAAGAAAATCCCAAGATTGCTACAAATGTCCATCTCAATTCCCCCTGAACAGACCTTAAATAGCTAAAATCTAATCTCATATGCGCCAAAGTTTTATTTGTAATTAGCCCTAAGTGTTTTAAAATAGAATTTAATTTTCCTAAATTTGAATGAATTAAAAATACTGTAAGAATGCTAAAAGTGGCAGCACAAACTATGCCACTTCCAACAGAAGCTCTTAGGAACCTAATATCTACCATATGCTATTAGTGACAATGACTTACAAATAATACTTGGAGATAATGAAGTTGTGGGAAAGCCACAATTAAACCATTAATATGAATTCCTGACATACAACTAAAATAGGAAGTTAAAAAAACTTACATAATAGATCTCAGCTACACATTAAAAATCTAATTTTTATGGTTAATTACTGATTACAATGTAGATTAGTATTACAAGACTGAATCTTATAGGAAAAATTAGGGAAAACTAGATCTGTGTTTCATATATGTAACAAAGAATAACTGTACTTAAGGGTGACTAAACTGCTATCTGTATACCCACCAATTATGATTCATAGCTTTCTATCATTCATACTTTACATCAACTCTGTATTTATCTTGTTATGTTCTGACATATATTTTGTTTATCCCATTAGAATAATATGCTCCTTGGGGACAAGGGCTGTTTTTGTTTTTCTAGTATCACTGGTGATTAGTATAGCTCTTTCCAAAGGGTTTAAAATTGAAGGATCCTGAACGTGTATCATCAGACAAACTGGACTCCTATAAAATCTGTTAAATATTTTTGTGTGAAATACTACCCCCCCAAAAATCTAGATATTTACTGGAAATTTGTTAAAAAACAAGTTGTGTTTTTATATTATTTTTGGAGGGATATTATATAAATACATTTTCTAAACCTATAAAAATGAAATTTTGAATTAAAATTTCTTCTCAAAAATGAACACAGTTAAGAGGCAGAAAAAGAAAAAAAGGGCTGAGGACACAATTGGGATCAAAGAAGAAAGATGACATTAAGTACTTTCATGGGCTCTAAGGGAATAAAGTCTCTAACTTAGAAATAGAGTTTCAAAATTCTTCATTTTCAATTTGGACCATTTTTGTAGTTGCAAACAAGCATCTCAAAAGGAAATTTCATTTCCATTTTCAAAGAATGTGCAAGCATGTTTTAAATTACGTTGTTAAATAAATGTTTAGAAAAAGGGCAACATAGGTTTATAAGTGTCTATTTAAATAAATTTTATTAAATTGCAATGGCAAAAAGGGAATATGATCTGATAAGACTTTAGCCAAAGATATTCTCAAGTACAAAATCACAGGAAAAACATCTACTACACCTGATATTACCTCAGGCAAGTCACAACATTCCTGGGCCTTGATTTCCTCATGTAAAATAAGAGAGTTGAACTAGATGGCCATTAAAGTTCCTGCTAGCTCTAAATCTATATTATGACCTCACAAAGATAGCATCTACATTAAAATAACGTGTTCTTTGATTATGTTCTGAAGGCAAGGGACACACTCTCAAAATTTCAAAGAGGTAACTTTAGATTGTATTGGGATAATGTGCTTTTAAAAACAAAAGTTTCTATCCATAAATTAGCATATGCCCACTTAAAAATATATTGACAACTAAAAGAATATTTTCTAAATGACACATTCGTGAGTACCTGAAGTTTATTTACACAGAATATGTACATAGTGTATATATAAATTATGCAGCCAAAAAGGATTGCACTCAAAAAATTACTATGTTTGCATATGTGTAGCATGAAATGACTAGAGGAAGTGCTCTAAGTTTTCATAAAGCAGAAACTCTACAGAACTCTGGACTTAGATCTTTCTTTTACTTTGGTGCATGTTCATAGAACCATCCTTCGAATGCCACATTCACAGCAGAATTTTGCCCATTCCACTGGATATCTGGTTCCACATTCATGGCAGAATTTTGGTAACTGTCCAGACGAATTTCCTTCACTGCCTTTAAAGCCTGCTCCATTGACAGATGAATAATCTACATCTGACCTGAAGTGATGAAGAACATTATAAATATAAAGCCTATGTCAGTAACATTCAAATGACATTTTTAAAAAATCAACAAAATGAGTTACATGGTATTTACATCTTAAGGCTTTCAAGTGTCCTTTAGTTCACATGAAAATAGCAGCTCATTCGACAGAAGATAAACTTGTTAACTCCTATCTTTAGTATCAAAATATTAATACCATCTTAAGATGCTGTTATGAAAATATAATTGAATCCATATTTATATCTAAGAATGTTCACAGATCAATCTACCAAGTCACCAAACATGGGTTAGCAAGATGATATACATTAACACACTAAACTGGAAGGAAACAGATACCAATTGAATGAAACAGATGAAGCTGAGTTGAAAGAATATTATGTAGATGCTCAAGGCTTAATCTTTAAAGTATAACTACATAAAAAGTTAGACATCTAGTAAATACCGATACTGATGATGAACCATTAGTCAACCAACAGCCATTGGCTAGATGATCATTTTCAAAAAATGTTATAGAAGAGATTCCTGTGCTGGGAACAAAGTTGTATTTGATGGTCCATGGAGTTCCTTTTACTTTTAAGACCAACTAACTAATTTTAATGGAGTCTTTATGTTCCCACACAATTTTCCCAACTGTTTACTGATGCTTGAACCTATTTTCAAAAAGAAACTAGTACTTCATCCCATAGATTGGATCCCTGAGAGTAAAATGTAAAGAGGTTTAAAATGGAAATGCCTACTTCAGGTAATACTCTATTAAAAACAAAAAAAAAACTTCTTTTAAAAATGTAGTCATTAATCAACAAATATAAATGGTCAACTTAGATTGATGTGTATTTAGAAGCAGAACAACCTGTGTTTCCATATGCAGTTAAAAAGTATCTACTGCACATCTGACCTAATTCATTTGAAGTTAAAAAGGCCAAAATTTTGAAGTATCTTTTTTCTGTATACAGAATCACCTTTCTCCACTCCCTGTCTCCTGACCTCCTGTTGGAAACACACTTCAGGTACCTAGTATCTTCCTGTTCTCTTCATTTCTCATTCTCTTGTCAAAATAATAATTCATATCATAGTAGATTGCTTTTGTATAGTTCTTTATAGCTCTGCTTCAAATAACATATGAAGGTTTCTTTTAAATACAAAGTTAATGGCTTAGTGTGGTATAGCAGCAACTCAGAGAACGAGAAGGCTATGCCAGTAGAACATGAGTACTCTGAGCAAGGAAAGCTTTAAAATAAGTTGGCTAATAGGTGATTTAGTTTGACCACAGCATCTTATGCAGACCACTTACTAAAGGTATATGGAAGGGGTACAGTCTATGTTGGTATAACCAATCTATTAAAATAAAATATCTTTTCAATTATTGTATCTTTTAAAACATGAAGAACTGATAAAAACACAAGCTTTGTTCCCAGGACAGTCATATAACTGAATCACAGAATCTCTATATTTTATGGCTGAAAGAGATTTCAAAGAATAGCTAATTTCAACTCCTCTCTTTTTTACAGATACTGGGGCTCAGAAATATAAAGGGAATTGGCCAAAATTTCACAACTAATTAATAACAGAAACAAGTTCAAACTCAGGTCACTTTACTCCTAACTCAGTGTTCTTTCCCTTACAATATATTTACAACTAAAGAATCACTGTATAAATATAGTTTTTCTAATACATTTTCAAACTTTTAATATATTTTATATTTATAAAATATATATATTTATAAATATGACTTGTATTTATAAATTTAATTTATCAATATATAATTCATATTTACATATAATAGAAATATATTTTATATATAGCTTACATTTTATATAATATACATATATAATTTATATTTATAAATTTATAATAAAATTTCAAACTTCCTGGAAATATCTATAAAATCTCAGTATTGTTCTTTTCCCTTCCTTTCTGCCCAATATACTTTAAGAGTTCTTACACAGAACTTCTTTGTAAAACACTATGACAGACACTGACACAGAACCAAAGATGAAAATATATGTGTACACACAAAAAAAGTACATACATACTCTACACATAACCAAAACATTCAAAACGCCTAGACAGAAAAATAGAGCAGAAGATCATTCTTCAGAAGGAAAACTTCTTTTCTAAGGAAAACACAAAGCTGATTGCCATCTCCAAAAGAAGAAATGTACTAACAAAACAAATAACCTACTGCTGACATGAAATTAACATTGCAAACTATTTCAGGAAATATTAAGGACAGCCAAAACTTCAGTCAGTCGTAGAATGTGCATATGCCCCAAAGACATCAATAACAAATGTGCCTGTGTGTGTGTGTGCAACGCGCGCACGCACACACACACACACACACACACCTCTTACAGACTTGTCATAACTGCTCCTGGGTTGTTTTCTGCATTCTATATGACTACAGAATGTCATATGACACTAGATTTGGAATCAAAGGATCTAAATATAAATACTGACTCTGAAACTTATTACTTCTCTAACTTTGTTTGGCAGCTGTGTTCCCTCATGTGTAATATTTTTTGGGAGGGTGAGGTAGGGGTGGTTAGACTAAATGTCCTTTCCAGTGCTAAATCCTTGGAACCTATGAAATGTAAACATGATCTATAGGCAATGTCAGATGTTGTACAGTAACAATAATAGTTGACATTTACATAACTTTAAGCTATTTTCTATTTATCCATAAAAAAAGAAACATCAGCATTGGTGTGAATATGACTACTGATGAAATACTCAGAAACATAAGAAAAGAATAGCATAGTAGCAATGAGCATTTATTAAGTACCTACATGCCAAGCACTGTGCTGGGCACTTGATGTACAAAAGCAAAAGCCAAAACAGTTTCAACTTAAGGGCTTTACATTATTATAGGTAGTTAACATTTACACACATAGTACGCATAAAATAGATACAAAATAACCAATATAAGCAAGAAGGTCAGGTTGGCTGGACCATAGAGTACACAGAATGGAATAATGCTTAATGCTAGAAAGCTAGGTAGGGGCCAGGTTGTGAAGAAGTTTAAATGTAACCAAAGGAGTTAATACTTGAATCTAGAGGTTGTATGAAGTGAAAGTGAAGCCTGTGCTTTAGGAAAATCACTCTGGCAGATATACTGAGGGTGCACTGGGAAGGGAAGAGACTTGAAGCAGGAAGACTAATTAGGAGTTTGTCACAATAGTCTAGCATCATGTGACCTGAACTACGGTGGTAGCTCTATGTGTGAAGGGAAAGAAGGATGTGAGATGTTGAAGAGATATAAATGACAAGATCTTGCAACTTACTGGATCAGTAGGGTGAAGAAGAGTGAAGAGTCAACGGTGACACTGAGGTTGCGAACTTGGGAGACTAGAAGGGAAGGTACCCTCAACAGAAATAGGAATGCAAGGAAGAGGGACATTTTTGGGGAAAGATAATGAGTTTTGCATATGTTGAGTCTGAGATGCCTATGGGACATTCAGTCTGAAATATCCAATAAGAAATTAGTGACATAAGCCTAACTCAGCAGAGAGAAAGGAACTGAATATACAGATCTAAGAGTCACATAGGTATAGATATAGATGTATAGATAATAATTAAACCCATGGGAGCAATAAAGTTACCAAGTGAAAGAGTAAAGGAGAAAAGAGAAGAGTGCCTAGGACAGAATCTTGAGGTACAACCAACACTAGAGAGCAAAGGCAACTGAGAAGCGGTGGTTAAACAGAGAGAAAGAAAAGCAAGAAAGGGCAGAGCCATGAAAACTCAGAGAAGAGAGAGTAATCAAGAGGAAAGGTGATCAACAGTTTCCAAGGCTGCAGAGAGGTCAAGAACAATGAAGATTAAGAAAAGGTCATTAGATTTAGCTATTAAAAGATCACTGGTAACTTCCGAGAGAACATTTTCAGTTGGGTGATGAAGTCAGAAGCAAGAGAAGAGAGATACAAAAAGTGGTGATAATTAGTACAAAGAGCTTTTTTCCTAAGAGTTTGGCTGAGAAAAGAAAAGAGATAATGGATGATAGTTATCAGGGAGGGTCCAGCAAGGCTTTTGTTAAAGGATAGAGATCTGGACATGTTTCTAGGCAGCAAAGAGTCAACAGTTAGAGACTGAAGATTACACAGAGAGGGGAAGAATGGGGTAAGGTGAGAATGGCAAATGATGTCAAGAGACTGTGGGATATGAAGATAAGAAGTGGCAACTCACAGCTGGTGAATAGTCTAGATTTTCTTGGTGAGATAAGAGAAGAGGTCTTCAGCTGAAAAAATGGGCAGAGAGGATGTTATGGGAGAAGAAAAGATTTGGAAGAACTGCTGTGGTAAAGAGGATAGAGTTAATTATAGAAGAGTAAAAAGGATTGCCTTAGGTCTAGTCGTGATAAGATAACAAATTTCTAGCACAGCTAAATGACTTCCTCTTGCTCCATTTATAGCATATATGTAGCAGTGGAGACAGCAGAGAGTAGGAATAATTTAGGGTAGGAGCATGACAAAGCTTGACCGGTGATATAAGAAAGGAGTATGTAGCTCAAAAGTACAAAATAGTCTATAAGTGAACTGGTCAACTATAGTTTTTGAGATTGGGAAGAGAGGAATGTGAAGAGCTAGAATGATACAGTCTGGGATACAGGAACTGGAGGCCCACAGTGGGGATGAAGAATAAGTTTAGAATGACTAAAATATGAGGATATATGCTAAAAGAGGAACAATCCAGGACTATATTGCTCATATAGCTGAAATCCACTAAGCCTGACCAATGTTTTCATTCCACCCTAAGCCAAATGGCATTCTGCATATTTCAAGTTTGTACTAAATTTTAGGTTCAAGAAATCTCATTATTTGCAGTAACTAAACTGTAGTTCTTAGAGCATAATATTGCAAGGAAATCCAAATGCAAAATAATTCAATGGAACCAACTGCATGACATGGAAAGTTACATTTTAACATTTTTCAGCTGCTGGCAATGGAAAGCCAAATCTACTACATATTCAAAAACTGAATGAAATCATCTTGTAATTAAAAAGAATGAGTTATTATGTTATGTTAAAAACCATTATGTTCTTCCATATAATATTCTAAAAAATACATTTTAAAATTTCTAGTAATAGCACTATACAGTAAAACATACCTGTTTGAATAACTATCAGCATTATAGGTTTTTCTCTTGTTTGTTAGTACTCCTGGTATAGAATATTTTGCCAAACTAGGTGGTGTTGAAGATCGTGCTTTCGTGCTACCTCTAAAAGGGAGAATAAGGTAGATTTAAAAAAACATAAATGATTAGCACCTTAATTAGTACAAATGCAAAAACACAATTATAAAAAAAGACTGTTGAAGAATTTAAGTTAAATAAAAGTTCAGAGACAGAGTCAAAACAATGTTTATGAGACTGTGGAAGAAGAGAATAATATTGAAATTAATGCTATACTTTACAATTACTATCTTGAAAATACAAATATCTTTTAAAAGGTACAAAATGTTTCACATGAAATTAAAACAGATTCAATCATTTCCCTAGAGACTTTAAACAAGATAAAAGACTGCCTTGATGCAATAGTAGTAGAGCAGAAAGGACACTGTGTTTGGAGTCATAAGCCCAGAGTTTGAACCCTGGCTTCATTAATGTACTGGTTTGTGTTATCTTGGCACCACTGAACCACTCTGGGTCTAAGTTTCCTCAGCTGCACAATGGAAATATTATTTACACTACATCTCTACATGTAAAACACTTTTTAGCCATAAATGTGAAAATAAGAGTTATGACCTATCTCACATATATAAAAAAATTTTACTTTATTATATACACTAACATTTAGCCACTATTCCCCACCAGCTCTCACCACAGAAGATCCCTCTTCCACCTGATTGGTCAGTTCCTCCCAAAATTTCCATTTTAAGGAAGGGCCTGGATAAGTCATTGTTCCCTCCTTCAAGAATGACACCTGACTCTTTAGACTTCTTTCTTCACCATGCTTCTGGGCTGTTATCTCTCTCTCCATCTTTACCCCTCGCTCTCCCACTCCCACCACTGGTTTTCAGCTTCCTTTTATGTGTTGCTGCCTCCCAATAGAATAAAAGCTCCTTGAGAGTATGGACTGTCTTTCTTTTTACTTGTATTTCTATGTAGTAACTGCTTAATAAATTGTTATTCATAATTTCCTATTGCCTTCACTTGACTTATATTTGTAAAGTAATTTGCTAAATAATTTACTTATAATGTAATGTAAAAGAGGCAGTGTGGTGAGCAGTGTGATATAGTGGATGTAGGGCTGGTGGTCTTTGAGTCAAGAAGACCTGGGTCCAAGTCATACCTCTGAGACATATAACATCATACATCTAGAACTACAAAGGACCTCAGCAGTCATCAAGTTGAACATCTCTCATTTCTGATGAAAAACTAAGGCCCAAGGAGGTTAAGTAACTTGCCCAAGGTCACACAGGTAGTTTCAGGGGCAGGTCCACTGATTCCTAAATCAATGTTCTTTCCACTATACCACACTACCTGACATACTATGTGACTAGGGGCACATCAACTTAACTTTCTCAGTGTCCCAGACAACTCTAAGATTTAAAAGCAGACAAGTTACTGATCTGTATTTGTAAAGGGAATTCCCCTATGAATTTGGAGTTTCCCATGAAATACAAGTCTGAAGAAAAAAATAACATAACTCATTTTATTATTACTAATCACTATACTGTGAATAAAGAAAATGGAAACCAGTTAAGACATTAAAAACTAGTATTTAGTTTATAAAATCTCATGCTTACAAGTACAGTTATTAAGGGAATTTGGTGAATGCCATTCTATCCATTGTTTCATTTAGGTAGCCATGCATTCCAGGTTATGTAGTTCCAGGTTACTTGTTTTACCTAGTAGGTTGATGCATAAGTCTAACTTGTATAAACAAATACATACTTAAATGGTCAGGATGACTAAGATAATCATTAATGTCAAAATATTCAGTTAAATTAATGGTTCTTTCACAAATTAATTATATAGGAGGGGTAGAAGAGGAAAAACATACCCTAAAAGCTTTAAATTGCCATATACTCATGTTAGACTACTTTGGGAAATGCCTCTTTTAAATTGTCACTTGTACAGCCCAACAAGAGAAATGAAGATACATACCACTGCATCTGGAGGTTAAGGCAATATCTACTTCAAGCTGTCACTAACACATAGTCATCCCTAAAAAACATCCACAGCACCCAAATAAGATATAAAGGCAAAGAGTTCATCCACAAGATTAAAGTTTCTCCGCTTTACTTCTATTCAGCACATCTTGAAATCTACTGCAGAATTACTGCAGTGTCCTATTTAGAAATTATTCTTCTAAATTATATGAATACTTCTAACAGAAAATGAGCACGAAAAGATATGCTCAATGACAACGGAAGCAGAGTCTCTCCAGAAGTTCTCTTAGGAATTTTAAAAACTTAGTCCCTTTACTTGCTTATATCATCTTCACAGGCCTTGAACAAGTGACCAATTACTAAAGTTCAATCATTAAGAATATTTAAATGTTCCAGAGGTTCAATATTAAAATGAAATGCATATAAAAATGTTGTACCTCTTCAGAGTGAGGTAAAAATTTATTTGAATTCCAGGGAGATATAGAGGAATTTTTTCTCAATTAGTACATGAAATTTCTTGACCCCAAGATGACAGCTGGAAATACATTTTTCTCCCTAGTCAGTATCAGTCACTATTTCTGCATCTAAAATATGCTTTAGAAAGACTCAAAAAATAATTGAAGACAGGCTCACTGGTGAGGCTAATGTTCTACTACCTCATCTACCTGTTCTTGGTATCAGCTACTGAAGTAATAACTAGAAGAGGTAATTATAAGAGAAATGGCATAATGTACATAGCCTTTCTTCACCATCTTATCACTAGTCATTATTTTTTTTAAAGATGAACTATAAAGTTCAAAACAACTTTTGAAATTTTAGTATTTACTGTGTCTCTGGTTAAATGGACAATTGTACCTTTGAAAGCAGGTGTCTACATAATCATGTAATAGAAAAGGTTTTAGATTAGGATTTTTAAAAAATTAGGTTGTAGTCCTAGCTCTGTGCAATTAACTAGCTGTTTCTCTCTGGAGAAGGTCACACAGGAGATCTGGGTCCAAGTCCCATTTCTGAAAATACTAGCTATGTGACCAAATCACACAGACTCGGGTTTGGTGACTTGAAGCCTCAATTTCCTCACTTGAAAAATGGAGATAGTATCTGTACCTTTAGGTTTAAATGAATGAATGAAAAAGCATTTATTGAGTACTCTCTATGTGATATACGCTGTACTTTTTAAAAACACTGAGGATACAATAGGAAAAAAATAACTGAGCAAGCCCTGCTCTCAAAGAGTTAACATTCTAATTGTGGCAGACAACATAAAAAGAGTTGTTACAAGACTGATGGAAAGACCCAGAAATATTAAGGGTCAAATTCTAGGTTGGATGACAAAGCAGGAAAGGACCTTACTAACCCTCACATCTTACAGATAAGGGAACTGAAGGCCAAAGATTAACTTGCCTAGAGTTATGCAGGTAGTGAGCAGGCTGGGATCCAGACAAAAGTCATTGAACTCCAAATAAAGGTCTTTCTACTATATCATCATAGTCCTTACATTCACATAGTTCTTTAAGGTCTGCAAATTGCTTCACACATGCTCTCTCAATAGGGCTGTTGTGAGGAGTACTTTGTAAACCTTATATCACAATATAAATGTGACAGTATTACTATTTTTATGTAAGATAAATATACTTGTTTAGGATATACTGAGGATTTTTAAACAATAAATTACGATCCTGAAATCTTTTCTGGAAGAGTTTCAATTTGGATCCTGTCTTCAATTCTTCCACAGATAACAAGTTTTTCCTAACATCAATAGGAGCAGAACTGGCATGGATGTACCATTTTTGCTCTACTTTCACACTGCTTTATCAAAGATTTGGAGGGAAAAAAAAGTTCATTTTTACAAATTTTTACAAATGGTTTTAAAATCAAAACTAAAAGAAAATACTTTAATACTGTAACATTTTTAAATTCCAGATTAAAAGGTGTTAACTGAAAGAGCTTTATTTAGGATAATGAAAAAACTCAACAGAAACTTTTAAAAAGGATTTAGGTTTCTATTTTAAAATTTTAATCCAGCAGCAAATATAATTTCTTAAAATAAGTATGCTTTCTATATTTAGAAAGTTATAGGGTAGCCTATATTTCAATCCTTTAAGGAAATATCTGAAAGAGATTAATCAAACTGAGTCACAAATACTTACTTGTTAATGGGTAATAACTTATTTCTTTTGATGGCACTGTCTGATTTTGTATCACTTTCATACAACCTTTGCACATCTCTTCCAGTTCGAAGTGGTGGGCCTAATTTGTCCATCTTACTACTAAAATATACAAAGGGGTACCCATAAGGAGATTGCTAATGTTTGCTATTTTAAATAATTCAAAAATTTTACACAAAATTAGACACAATCTTCCTCATCAGAGTTCGTTCTTTCCTTTTCTTCCCACTGTCCTAAGCACACTAAGAGGCTTCCAGGGAATAAACTAATTTAAGCAATTGTGTATAGATAATAGACACTGACAGAATTTACTCAAGAGCCACTATTGGATCCAGGAATTCTATACAAATTTCCCACATGCTTTAAGATAACATTTATTGTGGCAGAAATTATTCTGCAGAAATGCAGAAAACTGGCACGAGGCCACAATAAATGTTATCTTAAAGCATGTCAAAAACTACCTCATAATCACGTAGAACAATATATGTTATCCTATACATTAATGCAGCAGAATAAAGCAACCAATGAGGGAGGGGGGAGAAAGCAGAACAGGAAGCAGAAAAACTAGTATGGAAAACAACTGCCTTAAGATATAAAGCAAATTAGTGAAGCTAAGTGGGAACCCAGGACTAATAAACTGTTAAATTTCTCATCTAACACTTTCCCTTCTAAGTACTTTTTTTTTTACCATCCATATTTATCGCCTTCTTAAATGACTTCTTTGCATTTTCTGATAAACTCATGTAAAGACAAATACTTCATCATTGAGGATCTACAACTTGACTCCTTTACTACTAAGAAATTAATTAATAAGGATGTAAATGACTCCATTCCATACAATTTATCTTAAGTATGACAGACTTATGCAAAGTCTCTTATTAAAAAGGTGAGTTTGTGAAGAGAAAAATCAGGTGATGGAGAAAAAGAATATTTAACTCTATTCATCAACAGACTAAGAATGAATTTCTTTAAATGTACATTTTTGAGGAAAACTTTCAAGCATCTGAAAAAACAAAACAAAAAACAAACCTAAAGTCTGATTTGCACATAACATGAAATTTTTGCAAAAAGCATGAGGGGTCTCCATCTAGAGGATAATAGAAAAAACTGCACCATTTTTAAGAATAATTTTCATCCCTTTTCAGCAGAAGCATTTTAATTACATGTAACAACCACCACCATTATCCTTTCCATTTCAAAGAAAACAGAATTTAATTTACCTTTAAAGGAAAAGTCTCAATCAAATTATAAATGCTACTTTATATTTTTAAAGTTTAATAATAAAGATACAGAGATTATCTTTAGATATTCATAAGATGAATTTATCAAGTCTTGGCCAATTTGAATCCTTCTTAAAAGGATTTATTTTTTATTAAATACCTTTCCAGTGGTTGTGGGGATGGGCAGTAAAGAAAGGAGAAATTTATATTACATTTTAAAGTTCCAATCTGAAAAATTATGCTTGATCAAAATATAACTGCCCCTTGAGTCCAATTATCAAAATATGCAGGTAAAAAATCTGGGGATTTGGGAATAAGAAATAAAACATTTTTCTCATCAGAAAAATGTTACAAAAATTAAAACATTTCTATGAGTTTTCACAACAGTTTTTCCCTAAATGTGGATAGCAAGAACCATTTTCTCTATCTTAAGGTGCCATCAGATGAATGTCAATCCCTGATTCAGCATGTTTGCTGTTAATTTTCGCTCTGTATAGTAGGTCTATCACTTAGTCTCAAGACTACTTGCTTCCCACTAAAACCACTTCTGGTCTCTGACATTAAAACCTAGCTACTTAGCAGAAGGTTGCCACTTTCACAAGGGAAAGACTGTTTCACTCTTGGGTAAGTAGCTGCTAACTGGATACTTTTACTTCCCCAAATCCTTAAGCTAGTCTTTAAGAAGAGATCAGTTTAATTTTCCTATGAAGTATAAACAGAAACAAAACAATTATGAGATGCATATAGGAAGTCTAGGTGGCAGAATCTTTTTCTTTAATCTAGACTAATTCTCAAGTAGCATTTTTTTGTACTTCAGTTTGAGTAATTCCTCCACCAACTTATTTCACCTCCTTTTCAGGGCTTAGAAGATGGGTTTCAAGAGCTGCTGTGGACAAATATCTTGTCATTTTGAGTACATCCTGGTGAAGAGTTCTCTTCAAATTAGGATGATTATCAGAAAACAGGCATGAAGTATATCACTGGGCCTGTACTCAAAGCCTTTTCTAGTTTGTTGGTACCTACTAGAATTTTCACTCTGCTTTAGTCACCTCTAATACCACACTAAGGGCATAAGAATAGGACTCTAATAAAGGTTTCACATAGTAACATTATATAAATACTTAATATATGTATTATAAAATTAATTCCAAGATTATTCATTTTTTGCTTAAATCTAAACACACATAGTTCAGAATTAGTTTTACCTGTACTACAAGGATATGTTGGGAGCATGACAACACAAAAAAGTTATCTTCCCTATATGAATAAACCTCCAGCAAAGACCTCCAATGCCTTGTCAAGGTATGAAAATAGCTAGGTTTTCAATTCTATGGCAGCAGAATGCAAGTTTTGATAAAGTCTTGCAAAGCTACAGACTTTTCATACACTACAATTAGACTATATAACTTTTGCCTGAGGACTAGACTGGAAAGGCTCCTTACCAAAAAGTTGATTGTAAGATAATGGAAATTTTTTTTAATCCACAGCAACAGTCTACAGCATGAAGGAACTGCAGTGTTCATTGGTTGAGGAATGAGAACACATAGCCAAAAACCAAAATACCTTATGTATTTAATAAATGAATTAATAAAATCTAATAGTAAATGGCATATGTAACAAAAACATTGTTTAGAAATAAATTAGTAAGAGAATGTTTAACACAATTTTAAGAAATCTTTACAATTCCTAAGGTTCATCTAGGATAAGAAAGGAAGCAGTCAAATGGGGGGACAAAATCTTCACAGCAAATATCCTGGATGAGGGTTTGGTACTCAAGATATACAGATGAGTAAAATAAACAAACAAACAAATAAATGAATAAATGAATAAGTAAATAAATATGTGTGTGTATATATATATATAATTAAAAGCCATTTCAATAGATAAGTGATAAAAGTATATGGACAAATAATTATTTTTTAAAATGCAAACAATTAACAATCAAATGAAAGAATGCTCCAAATCACTAGTAAGAGAAATGCAAATCAAAACAACCTGAAGCTTCAGCTCACAACCAGCAAAACAGGCAGAGCTGACAAAAGAAGGAAAGTCATTGTTAAAGGGACTGTAGAAAGATAAGCATAGTAATGAATTGTTGGTAGAAATGTGAATTAGTACATCATTCTGGAAAGCAATTTGGGATCATATACAAACATTTACTAAACTGTAATACTCTGATGGAACTATACCATTGCTAGGCCAATACCCAAAAGAGATCAAAGAAAGAATAAAAGGTCCTTTATGTACAAAAATATTTATAGCAGCTCTTTATTGTGGCAAAAAAAACCTGGAAACTAAGGAGATACCCATCAATTGAGGAATGGCTGAAAAAGTCATAGTACATAAATGCAATGGGGTAGTACTATTATGCTATAAGAAATGAGGAAATAGATAATTTCAAAAAGATATGTAAAGACTGTATCAACTGATACAAAGCAAAGCAAAACGAAAAGAACAATTTATTCTACATCAATATTATAGTAATGAACAATTCTGATAAACTGATAAAGAATTAAGTGAGCAGAACCAATAGAACAATTTATGCAGTAACAGTAACACTGTAAAAACAATTCTGAAAGCTGTAAGAATGATATTGATGATAAAACATGCTATCCACTACAGAGAAATGATAGATTTAAGAAAGTAAATGACATACACATATTTGGCATACAGGAACTGAAAGAATTTTTTGCTTTACTATTCATATCTGTTACAAGAAATTTCTTTTTCTTTTCTTTTTTTTAAGGTGGAGAGAAAATAGATTTGTTCACTTAAAAAAACAGAGGTGGGGGTGCTACAGCTGTGAAATGTTACACATTTTCAGATGAGGTCACAATATTAGTTTTACTTAAATGCTCTACTTTGATACAAGGGAACTTTCACAAAGTGGGTATAATCATAAAAATGTAAAAACAAAATGCTTCAATAAAACAAAATATGATAAGACTGGAAAGACTTACATGAACTGATAAAAAAGAGAAATAAATAGATCCAATAAAACAACATACGTGACTATATCAATGTAAATGGTAAGAACAATAAAATAATTTAAAATGGATATTGTGAAATTACAAAGAACAACATGTACTAGCTGTGTGACCTTGGGCAAGTCACTTAACCCCGATTGCCTCACTAAAAAAAAAAAATTTACAAAGAACAAGCTTGGCCCCAAAGAAGAGATACAAGAAGACACCTCCCTCTATTCCTTAGAAGAGATAAGAGTATCATCAGGTGTGAAACACTACATATATCTTCAGATTTTTTTCAATAATACTGACTGGTTTTGCTAATTTCCTTTCTCTTCTTACTCCTCTTCTTCAAAAGAATTTGTTATAAGGCATGGCTCTGTGGGAAGGATGCAAGGGAAAATTTTGGTTGATGTAAAAACAAAAGACACTGGTAAAAATTCATGTTTAAAAATTCATGTTAATACTAATCATACCAAAGTTGGCTGGGGATCTGATTCCAACAAGAATAAAATGGTTGCTGGGGTAGAAATGATGGGCATATTGTGGAAAAGGAATCATTCTCTCCTAGAGTACATGACAGGGGAAAGCTGTGGATAATCTGATGTGCTGTCCAGACTTTGGACAATCAAATATCAAAGGGTTCAGAAGAAGGATAGGTATGATTCCATGGACTAAAACTAGTCCACTAGACTAAAAGAGAATTCAGCCCAGATAAGACAGGAAACTTCCAAGAATAAAATTCTGAAAACACAAGAGAAATGCAATTCCTATGAGAAGGAAAAATTGAAGTGGTGTGAAGAAAACTCAACACTTAAAATACACAGAAAACTAAAAGACTTTCAGGAGAAACTTTTTATTACTTCTTTGTTACATTTAAATACACTTTAATATTTTTAAAAATGTAGGTAAAGTT